CAATTTGAAGCATTTTATGAGGAATAAGCCCATGGTTTATTAGGAAAGAAGTTAGGTTAGTGATAGTTGAGCGTTTGCTATAAAATCCATGCTGGATAGTGGTAATTAAGTTTTCAACTTGGTGGAAGAGATTGTCATATACACAGATTTCAAAGGCCTTCGAGAAGTTGGACAAAATGGAGATTGGTCTGTAATTAGAGATATTGTTAATATCCCCGCTTTTAAATACTGGACATATTTTAGTTTTTTTCCAGTGATCGGGGAAAGTGTGTGTCTTGATTGCTAAATTAAATATGTGGTGCAGTGGAGATGTAAGACATGGGGCACAGTCCCGCAGTATGAAAGATGGTACTTTGTCATGCCCAGAAGTATGTGTGGGTTTTTTATGAGCCTTGAATGTCTGTGCCTTTGATGTATTCACAACGACTGCACTATCGGAACACTGATTTTCACTGTCTGACAGGTTTTTCCACCATGCTCGGCCGACATTACTCACATACACATATAGCGACTTCTCGCACTTTCACAAGAAAGTAATTGAGCCTGAAATTCGCGATTGGTGTATTTTCAGAGCCTCTAATGAGCCCTTATTGTCTGTGCAATTGGAATTGCAATTTTCGTTATTTTAGCCACTTTTTCGCTAATGTTCTGCTAGCTTAGGTTAAAGCTAGCAGAACAGTCATTTTTCACGAAAATTCAAGGAGCCTAAAATTTCTCATCGGGGCATTTAATTAGCCTTTAATGTTCCATGTATTGATTTTCGATTCTGCTGACTTTGCTCTTCCAGCTTAAGAGACGTACTACAAAAACTGAGTTTTCTAATACCCTATACTATATATAATATTTACGACTATTGGATGAAGTTACTTTTCTTATTCGTTTAAATTTGACTATGACTCTAACACTTGCCGCCAATAAGAATCTATAGCCAAGAAGATCTGGAGAAACTGTAATGTATAATCTTGTTATTTTGTGTAGGATAATTTGAAAGACAAATTCACAGTACAAAATGATATTTTGGATGACTATCTAACTGATAGTGCTGCAAATGATGATAATGTTTCTAGATTGGGTTTATATAGTGACAAAGTCTGTGATTTTAATATAATTCACATAAATATATGCGGAATAAGCAAGAACTTTAATAGTTTGTTATGTTTTTTAGAAGCAACAAAAATAAATTACGATATTATTGTAATATCAGAAACACACAGGTTTAACAATATTAATAATTTTGAAATAAAAGGTTTTGATATATTTTACAATAATAGTGCAATAAATAAATGTGATGGTACTCTGGTGTATGCAAGATCTGATATTGTCCTAAATCAGGAAGTTATAGATATAAATTTTAGTAAATTCTTAAGGGTTACTTGCATTAAAAATAATAGAACGATTGGTCTTATAGCTCACTATTGTTTACCAAGTCTTTTGCAGGGTGATTATATTGTGGATTTGCATACTCTTTATTTGAATAAAATGAATCATCAAGGTGATATTGAAATTTTTACTGGGGATACAAATTTTAATACTCTGGCAGTTGATACAAATATTGTTAATGAATATTTAAATTGTTTGAATGGCTATGGTTTTGTTCAAAAAATCAATGGCATTACGCGGCAGGAATCCAGTACTTGTATAGATCATATTTTTATTAAAAATAAACTTAAATATACTGAAAATGCTCACATAATTAAGTCTTCTGTCTCTGACCATTATCCTGTTTTCTTGAACATACAGTTTCCAACAGAAACAAGACCTAACAATATCATAAATAAATCAAAAAGTTACACAAAAATAAATAATACAAAACTAAATCAATTGTTGGAAAGTGAATGCTGGACAAAGATTCTTAACAGCTGTGATCCAAATACCGCAACACAAAATTTTATTGAACAAATAAATTTGCATATTAGTACTTCTAAACAAGACGTTGTGATCAAAAATAAAGATTTTTGCTTAAAACCATGGATAACTTTGAATCTTTTGCATTGTATAAGACACAGGGATAGATTGAAAAAAATCTGGAGTCGTAATCTGGAAAATATTGATGCTAAACGAAATTTTATAAATTATAGAAAAATATTAACCAAAATAATAAATAAAGCCAAAGCAGATTTTTATAAGGAAAAACTAAGGGAACATATTGGAAATCCCAAAAAAACTTGGGATTACATAAAATGTGCCACGAATGACATAAAAAAAACTTCAACCATAAAAAGTGTAAGACTGGAGGATGGTCAGGACTGTCATGACCCTGAGATTATGGCAAATCGGTTTAATACATTTTTTAGTTCTGTGGGCAAAAAGTTAGCAACAAAAATTAAAAATCAAATACAGCAAACTCCTGATTCTTTCAAAGAAAAACCAGTGAAAAGTTCCTTATTCCTGTGGCCTATGACTGAGGAGGAAATGATCAAAGCAATTAATATGTTAAAAAAATCAGATTCAAACACAGGCGATTTCATTTCTAACTCTTTCATAAAACTACATTACAAAACTCTCATTAAACCATTGGTACATATATGCAATCTTGTGTTTGGTCAAGGAGTGTTTCCGGACATATTGAAGACCTTTGCACAAGGGAGGAGATCGTAGGGATGATAATAACTACCGACCAATAGCAATCATTAATTCTATAAGTAAAGTCATTGAAACAAACATTAAAAACAGGATGTGGGACTTTCTTGATAAAAACAAAGTAATTTCGACAAACCAATTTGGTTTTAGGGCGGGTTGTGGCACGGAGGATGCTCTATTTAAGTTACAAGATTGTATTTTTGAGAACTTTAACCAAAATAAAAAAACTCTATCAATATTTTTAGACTTAACAAAGGCTTTTGATACTGTGGCACATCGTACTCTACTAAAAAAACTTGATAACATGGGAATTAGAGGAATAGTAAACGACCTAATTCAATCATACTTAACAAAATGTGAACAAAAAGTTAGATTAAAATCATTTTGTAGTAAAGAGGAACTTGTGGAGTACGGCGTGCCACAGGGTAGTGTCTTGGGGCCGCTTCTGTTTATCATGTATATAAATGGTATGAGTGATGTGACATCAGCTCAGGTTGTTATGCAGATGATACTGCTCTGCTTATCAGTGGTGATACCTGGGAAAGCACTTATCGGCAGGCAGAATATGCTCTGAAGAACATAAAATTGTGGTTGGATATAAATTCTCTCACTTTGAATAGTAGCAAGTCTGCTTTTTTGACTTTTGCGAAGGATAAACGGGGACTACCAAATAGGTTAGAATTAACAGTACATTCTTACTTATGTGATGCTGATCAAACATGTAGATGTGAGGTGAAGATAAAAAATCAGGAAAATGCTAAATATTTAGGAGTTTTCATTGACCAGCATATGAAGTGGAATGTACATGTGGAGTATGTTGCCTCAAAATTAAGGAAACTTGTTTATAAGTTCTATGAGCTGAGAGATATTTTGAATGTTGAAGCTTTAAAAATGGTATATCAGGCTCTTGTAGAGTCAGTAATAGGTTATGGCCTAATTTGTTGGGGAGCTGCCTGTAAAAGTATTATAAATCCAGTAATAATTGCACAAAAATACATACTAAAGGTTATGCTAAGGAGGGGTAAACTATTTTCTACTGATTTCTTATTTAAAAGTACGGACTTATTAACTGTTAGACAATTATATTTAAAAAACATTATTAGGTTTGCACATAAAACAAATTTATTTCCATCTTTTGTTGGTCATGAGATTAAAACCAGAGCAATATCCAACTTAAATGTACCATATGAAACACAAAACTTTTCCATAACCCAGAGATCTATCAGATATATCTGCCCCAAAGTGCTAAATATATTGCCCCTTAAATTTAGACAAAGTCGATCAAGAGAATTTAAATATTGGAGTAAGGAGTTAAGTGAATGGCTGAGAACACACTATGAGATAATAGATGAAATATTGCTATTGTAATAATTTTAAAAAAATATATATTATAATAACAATAATACACTCAATACACTTAATAATAATAATTAAAAGAAAAAAATTGAAAAACCTGTGTGTTTCTGATAAAAGGGAGAAAAAAGGGAAAAGGGAAAAGGGAAAGGAAAAAAATGAAAAAATAAGAAAAAAAAAACAAAAAACTTCAAAATAGCATTGTACTTGCACACTGACTGAAACTAAGATATTGTGTTTGTTGAAATTATTTAGATTTATATGTACACACACAAACCGAAAGGTTAATCGTGTACAAAAGGAATTGTCTTAATTTTGTATTTAATTTTTTTTGGAAATAAATGATTTGAAATGATTTGATTTGCTCTAACATAACAAATATTCAACCTTCCATATTCCTCAGATTTGCTACCTCAATAACCTCAAGTATCATAATACCTATAGCTACAATGTTTTGTGGAATTTTTCCAACTTTTAATTTGGTGCCTGGGTTAGTTTGTGTATTTATTTGTCCTTGGACTATTGGATTAATTGTGATACAGAAATTTGCGATACTACTGCAAAATTGATTTGAGAATGCAAGAAATTGGTGAGTGGAAAAAAAATTGATTTTAGAGATTGCAGTGTTTTGTATCTAGGTACTCGTATCAGAATGACTTGCTGACAATATTAGGGTCAACTTTCTTAAAACTCAAAAAAAGCCCAAAATATGGTTAAGGAAGTTAAAGTTGGTAAAGGAGGAGTTCTTTCTTAATAAAAAATATAATGATGCATGGCTTTCACTTTAGAGTTATGATGAGGGAAAATGAAAGATTATTATGAATTCATGCCTTCATCCAGTTCATCCTATATGTTCTGTGTCTGGGTGTAGTAAAGGTACTAGAAAAATGCTAGGAAGGGCTTGGTTAAAAGTAAAATACCCTAGATAGGTAGGTATCCTGGTAGGTATGTTCCAAAAAACAAATGCTGAATAATTTCAGGTAAAATAATAAAACAATATACCTACAAGTATTACCTAAATAATAAATTGAAATAAATTTGGTAGAGGAAATTCAATCAACACTTACTCAATAAAATACACCTCTCCACTTTCAGTAAAAGCTTTTTCCCATTTTGGAGGTAAAGGTCCTAGAGAATCATTATCATGGCTTTCATGAGCATGATTGAAGCTATCCTTTTCGTCTTCATAATAATTAGTGCTGTCAGGATGAACATCTGGGTCTTCTGTTTCTACCCTCAGAGGTTGAGATAAAGGATTTGAATGGTTTGACTCACTTGTATGACTCATTTTTAAATTTCCTTCTTTAGCATTTTAGCCATGGATTTCATAATTATGATTATTCCTAGTTGTGGCGAACTCGAAAAATGGAAAATCATTCTGGACTAGACATTACCAACCAACATCAACCCTCAAGTTTGACCTGACAAAGGTAGTTTTGTTTATAGGAACCAAGGTGTAACGTTCTGGTTTTAACCTCTCCTTTTTGCACAAATTAACATAGTAAATTGTTTAATCGATAATTTTATATTTCCTTTCTTTTCTTAATTTTTCTTAGGGCTCCAGCTTTAATGGGACAACACAACAAACAAACGAAAACGGATAAGATGCGAACGCCACAAGTGATTTGAAGGCTCTCGATTTCCCCCGATCTGGGAAGTCAAGATTCACTAGATTCAGCAGATTCAGATTTCCCAAACTTTCTTGTTCCTTTACTTTCTTTTATCCTTTTCTTTTCTTGCAATGAACTCGGCCGCATACTACCTACCATCTGCCGGATATTTAAGTATTATTTTTTCAATTATATTTTAATCCACATCATAGCAGTAGCAAATGTTTTTGGTGTTTTGGCATGAAAATAGAATTCATTTTTTGAACAGGCTGAATAGATACCCAGTAGTAATTCATCAATAATTATTATAAATTATTTATATTTCTATCCTATCGGTTTGCACTTTTTAGATCACCGAACCGAACAACGAGCAGATTAATCACAACCGGAACCGAACACTGAACAACAGAGCAGCAGTACAAAGTACAACAACAACCAATGAACTACAACAACCAACAACGACTTTTCGCTTTGACAGTTTTGACTTTTGGTTTGACTGACACTACCAAGGCGATTTCATAATTCATGAATTCATTGAAGTTAACTTTTTGAATTACATGTAATTCCAGAAGTTAACTTTAAGTTAACTTCTTTAAGCTACTTTGAGAGTTAACTTAAAGTTAACTTCTGGAATTACATGTAATTCAGAAAGTTAACTTCAAGTTAACTGTCAAAGCAGTTTTAGGGCGGGTATTATAAAACTGCTTTGACAGTTAACTTGAAGTTAACTTTTTGAATTACATGTAATTCCAGAAGTTAACTTTAAGTTAACTCTCAAAGTAGCTTGAAGAAGTTAACTTAAAGCCCTTAGGGCGGGCATTATAAAACTACTTTGAGAGTTAACTTGAAGTTAACTTCTGGAATTACATGTATTTCAAAAAGTTAACTTCAAGTTAACTGTCAAAGCAGTTTTATAATACCCGCCCTTAAACCATTAAGGGCGGGTATTATAAAACTACTTTGAGAGTTAACTCAAAGTTAACTTTTTGAATTACATGTAATTCCAGAAGTTAACTTTAAGTTAACTCTCAAAGTAGCTTTATAATACCAAAGCAGTTTATATAAAACTACTGCTTTGAGAGTTAACTTAAAGTTAACTTCTGGAAATACATGTAATTCAAAAAGTTAACTTTAAGTTAACTGTCAAAGCAGTTTTATAATACCCGCCTTTAGAGCGGGTATTAACTTCTAAAATTACATGTAATTCAAAAAGTTAACTATCAAAGCAGTTTTATAATACCCGCCCTTAAACGCACGAAAGCCAGCGAATCTGTTCCTTTCAAATCGGGGTCGAATAGCACCGGAGCGAGTAGCTCTAGTGTTTTAATCTCTTGAAAGGAATACAACTATTATCGACCCTGTCATAGCTTTTATCACAGCTCTAACATACACGGCTTTAAGCCTAGTACTCATAACTGCGAAATTCGCATTTTTTTGACATTGCGTCGACAATTTGATGTTTCATGTGTGAATCAAACGTCAAATTGTCGAAGCAATGTCAAAAAAATGCGAATTTCGCAGTTATGAGTACTAGGCTTTAGTCGCCACCGATTTGAAACTTGCTCCGGTGTTAGTCGACCCCGATTCGAAAGGAACAAATACGCTGGCTTTCGTGCCTATAAATGGTTTGATTCGGGCTTGAGCACTTCAGGCGCAACAAACACTTTTCGAAAGGAATAAGCGCGTAACGCTCCAGATCTGTTCCGGAGTTCCTCCGAGGTATGAAAGGAATACAACTTTTATGCAAATCTCCATAAAGCCTAGTACTCAGAACCGTGAAATTCACTCTTTTTTGACATTGCTTCGCCAATTTGACGTTTGATTCACGCATAAAACGTCAAATGGTCGAAGCAATGTCCAGAAAGAGCGAATTTCGCTGTTATGAGTACTAGGCTTAAGGCACCCCAGACGCGTCATCAAGTTACCCATCACCAGACAACCTATATCACACCTACCATTCTTGACACCTACCGCTTGGCTGGGGAATGGTGCAGTGTATGTATAGGTATGATGTACGTTCGAAAAAGTACCGGGCGTTACCCAGTGTGCACCCTAGCCGTTCGAAATTGCAGTTGCCGACGATATCGTTTGGAAAATTACGACACATTCATTTAAACATCGGTGTGCTCGATGCGAAGTACGCTTCTAGCTTCTACATTTGATTGGAATTATTTTTGATACGTCATCAGGTTTGATTTTTCACACACGCGATAGCGATATAACGAATAGAAATTCCAAGAAGAATGGATGAACTTGTCTTGGCGAGAATCAGGGAATAATTTACCTAATGTTTTTGTTTGTCTTTATTTATTTACGATCCCCTTTCCCTTACAGAGTGGCTCCCGATTGTCGTGTTCGGCCAAATTCGGCCAGATACGGTTCACGTTTGGTCCGTACGCAGAGATACGTTAACTACTCACGGGCCACTTTAAAAGTTTACCAGACATTCCAATGGAAGATATACTTGCCTTAGGGCCGGTTTCTCAGTAGCAACTAGCAAGTCACCCCCGGGTTAAGCATAACTCCAGGGTAAACATTGCAACTGGACACGCTTGCCTGGAGTTAAAACCAACCCGGAGGTGACTCGCTACGTACTGTATAACTTTTAAACCTAGTATTCATAACAGCGAAATTCGTTTTTTTTTTGACATTGCTTCGACAATTTGATGTTTTATACATGAATCAAACATCAAATTGTCGAAGCAATATCAAAAAAGAGCGAATTTCGCGGTTATGAGTACTAGGCTTTATCCGTTGAGTTACTCGGAGCTGCTCAATGTCAAAAGCTTGAACGTTCCTTTTATTTGAAAAGTGCGTTAAGCACTCTACTCCTTCATAGTGCATCCCCCTTTCCCCTGATGCACCAAATTTGCGGGTGGTGCAAAAAGCCCCTGTACCCTGTACATAATGTTAATATTGATTGAGAAACCGGCCCTTATACAAATGTAAAAAAGGTAATGGTCTATCAAGGAGAATACACACTCTCAAGGAGTGCGTAAGCGGCCTCGTTTTTGGTAATCGCTACCATATTGGTGTGATACGATTTCCGACGTCATAACTAAAGGCCAGGACACATCTATCATGCATTTTTCCGATCATACAATCAGGGTTTTTATTCTTGGAACAGGGAGCAGCGTTCCCAGGAGAATGTGTGTTCCGTCTTTCTCAATTATATGCAACTGATAATATGAGTAACGAAGACGAAACACTCGTTCTCCTGGAAACGCTGCTCCCCTGTTCCAAGAATAAGGACCCTGATTGTATGATCGGAGTCGGATCGGAAGAATGCATGATAGATGTGTCCCGGCCTTTAGTCGTCAGCTAAGGCGTATTTTAGCGAGAGTTTTAACCCAGTAGTATGTTGTATTTACTTGGGATACTACATTTTAGCGAGCATGGCTAACATACTATGACGCCACAACATAAAACTCGACTGTAAACATGTAAACATCCTAGGAGGGATAGTTACTGGTTGTAGTATGTCAGTGCATCTTTTTCTAATACACGAAAATGAGCATATGGGCAAAACATCAGCTGATTACGCTACGATTACGGACACAGTTCTTTCCATTATAAATAGAGGATTGTTTTTCCTCATTTTGCCATGGTTTTCTGTGATTTTATTTTAGAGGTTTTTTGCAAAAAAAATAAAAAATCTTCACTTGTGCACAAAAGTGTAATTTTTTTTTTTTTGGCATAGGGTACCCATAAAATGCAAAAATACCACAATCTATCAAAAATATTCGAAAATCTTCACTGGAGAAATAATATTGAAACTCGAAAACGCTAAATTTTACAAAATTCAACAAATCCAAATAAACAACGATCGTGGCGTCCTCTCTTAGACCCTTTGTCAAATACGCTCCACCTGTTATTTGGGTAACTATGACGTCATGAATCGTAGTATGTGTAGTATGATGTTTACCTGTCGCTAAAATACGCCTCTAGTTTAAAACAGCCAACGTCAAGGCGAGAAATAACATGCTGCCTACGTCACAACTGGTACTTTGGCGTGGGGGGGGGGGGGGAAAGCAAGGAGAATAAAGTGCGACAACTGAGTGAACCTGTGTGGAAGGAATGCGGGCAAATCCCTCCTGATTGGCCCGAGATTAAATATACATATACGTGGGTCGTCGCGTCAGGGTAACCGCAATTTTCGCAATGCACCACGTTGGGGACGCGTCGCGTCGTATAGTATATAGGTTTTCGTCTCCCCCTCTGCTACTTCATACGTTACCAAGGTTCACTCACTTGTCGCACTTTACACACTCTAAGGAGTGCTTATCGGCCTCGTTTTTGGTAATCGCCGCCATATTGGTGTATTACCATTTCCGACGTCATAACTAAGTCGTCAGTTGTTTAAACACTAAACAGCCTACGTCAAGGCGAGAAATAACATTGTGCCTACGTCACGTGGTATCTGGGCTAGAGGGGGAAGGGGGGATTTGTTACACACAGGGACACAGGCCTCATGAGGATAGGCCATCCCGTAGTAGTAGTGTGCATCATCATCATCCTTTGGGGGGAAGGGGGGATTTATTCCACACAGGTTTTATGAGGATAGGCCATCCTGTAGTAGTAGTGTGTATCATCCTTGATGGTCTATAACATCAGTTAAGCTGGGTTTATACAGGAAATAAAATAACATAAAATAAGAAATAAAATAAAATTAAAATATTGCCATGGGTGCCACAGTGTCGTTTGTACACAAAAATAAAATAAGAAATAAGAAAAAATAAAAAGTTGGTTAACTTTTAACTTATCTTATTTTATATGAAAATGCTCTTTGCGCATGTCACGACGTTAATTAGATTTGACCGATGAGTCAAAATATTGGACCAATTGGGATACTTCCGGATCATCGGAATGACGGGAAAACGGATGCATGAAAAGTAATAAGCTTTTTTGCATATTTTTCTTATTTTATTTCCTGTATAAATCCACCTTTAATCCTAATGCAAGATCAATTATGTTATTAGGATGCGGAAGTAAGGTCGGAGTACATAGAACTAAACAAACCCTCTGGAACGGGCGCACAGCTTTATGCTATGGTGCCGAATTTTGATATATGCAACCTAGCAATACAGAGGGAATGTTGTCTCGCTCGCACTCATTACGATTAACGTAAAAGAAAGAAGAGCTTCTTCATCTTCTTAACCTCAATGACTTAAACACTTCAAACAGCAGCTGTGTTCTCAATGCCGCCATAGTGCAGAGAGAGATGCAAATCCCACTTGTTTGTTGTCCTTCCTGACACAAACCCTTGCGTTAGAAACATGCAGCCGGCTAAAGGGCCCCATACACTACGAGAAAACCGTCGTGTTTTTGTAGAAAAACACGACGGTTTTCCACCACACACTTCGGTTTTGGAAACACGACGGTTTTCCTCCACACACTTCGGTTTTGGAACGACGTGTTTTATCGCGGCGATGAAAACCGTCGTGTTTTATCGTAGTGTATGGGGCCCTTAACGATTTTGCCACAGTGAGGTTCTCTCCAATTAGTTTTTAATACAATAACAAAAACAATTATTCAACTTGACACCTGATTCGGATTTCGACTCTACTAATAAGGGGAGGTCCACTCAAAATATTTTTCCTACGTTTATCAAGATCAATCAACAATCTCCCTAAGCGGCAAGCGCCAAGATCCAACCAAAATAATTTCTCCCTTGTTATTTGTTCATGTCCAAAGTAGTAGTCAACAAACCCAAGAAATTTTCTAGGGCCAATTTCACAAAACAGTTTTTTTTTTTAAAAAGGCACAAAAAAAAATGGATTGGAGTTCGCACAGGATGTTTTCAAAAAAGCCACTATAACGCGCAACCTCTTTTATTCTCTCAACTAAATATATCAAATACCTTCATATTTCCAAATCAAACTAGTGTCAAGTATATGTTAAAATATTTAATATATTACAAAATAAATACATCTTACAAACAATAAGGATACTCATATATTAGATACTTTCCTTAATTACCTATATCTTCTATGCAATTTATAACAACCCTGCTTAAAGCAGTAAAAAACTGTGCAATAATAGAGAAATTTAATAAACTCTCATTAGCAATTAAAGCCTACACCATCAAAATATATGTAATTTTATTTTAGGATATAGATATTTCAGGCTCAGGTTAAGTGTCGTTAAAAGTCTTTTTTGTTAATAAGTTTTATTAGATTTGAACAACAAAATATTGCCAAATCAAGATATTTGATTGGGTTTTAAAATCTATTTGAAATTCTGAGAAAAACTTTTAATAATTTTGCATAATTATATTAAATAATATATTGAGCTAAACATATTTTTAATATATGGCAAGGTTGAAATCAGAGGATAAAAAAACGTAATTTTTGATGAAAATTGTTCCATTGCCAAGTTTTGGGCAGGGGCTCGGGCAGGAGTTAATTCCACTTTCTTCCTTTTTTTTAAATATAATTTCGAACATACACACCATAAATATTATAAATAAAAACAAATTTTGGACATGAAATATTAGCGACTAGTAAAAAATTTCTCAGGAAATAAAAAATTAACAATGAAACCTTTTCAAGTTAAAAAATGATTCAATAAATCATTAGCAAAATAATGCTAAAAGAGAAAATTCTTGGTTCAGCCAGGTGAAGACTCTCACAGCCAACAAAAAAAAAAAATAATAAAAATCTATGCATTACTGGAACCTGTTTCTGGAATTACAATTCCATGACTGGCTGATCCATATAGTGTTGGAGAAGATCTGTCTATAATACTATTTTCAATACTACTAGAACTAAGTAAAACAGGGGCAATATATTGTTCTTTTTGAGCTGGCAAGTGTGATTTAATACTAGAGATTGGTTTGCAAGTAGGAAAAGGGCTCAGAAAAAAGAAACATGATATCGTTAGGCACATACCGATTATCATAACGTAAGTCATTGCGTTTAACCCACCACTGTCTCTTATGAAGAAGAAAGCAGTTAGTATAAATTGACATAAAAGAATAGCGACTCTAACCATTTTGACTGCACCTGCATGTATTTGCTGTCCTTCAGTAGACATAGCTATAGGTCTATATACATAATAAATATTATATTTATCAACCAAATGTTTTAGGCATAAATAGAGCAATCCAAATGGCGTTATTAGTGGACAAGATAAACTATATACAGTAGAAATGGTAAATATTAGAAGGGTCCAAGCATAGTGAATACCAAATTGAAACTCTGATAAAATTTCTTTGCGAACGCTTGTTTTTTCAGCCTCTGATTTAATGAAAGAAAATCTTAAAGCATACATTGCCAACTCTGGAAATCTCAACAATTCCAACGCAGTACCTATAAGAGCAGAAGTAATTACATAATTTACAAAGAAAGCACCTTTATCAGCAAGAAATACACATTTCCAGCGAACTTTGTCATTTTGTAAAGTCCATTCTACAAAAGCCTGAGCACTAGTTAATCCCAAAGAAGGTAAAATTAGCACCATAAATAGCAAGAAATAGAAAGCTTTGAACATGACAGAAAAATTCTGCTTGGATTTTGTCCAATGGGACATCCATTCATCTGTATATGCCACAATGACAGGCATCAAAGCTGATACAGACAATAGCAACAGAGTTGGAAAAAACTGTGAAACTACTGGGCTTAATTTGTTTATGAAGTCTCCATTGGCCTGGTTAATCTGATTAAACAAATTTATAAAAATAATTGGAGTAGTTAAAAAGAAAAGCACCAAAAATAATAATAAATTAATAACTACAGCTTTAGAATACCAGTTTCTATAAGATATTTCTAAATTTTCCCAGTTTATATCTGCGGGTGTTGGTGCTTGAGCTATATTCCAGTGGCGAAGTGTACCTGGCTCAAAAGATTTAGCCACATACTGGGCCATTTCTTCAGAACCCACTGTAACAAAAGCAATACCTAAGGCATTAGAAAGCGCATTTCTCCTTTCAGATAACACCAAGTCATTTAAACGTTGCTCATCTCTTGTATAGTATTCCAACGCATCTACAGTATTACATGAACAACAGCACATACAACCGTTTGGTTGAACTTGTATGGGCCGGTCACCTCTATGACCATTCTCAGTACAATAGAGTTTTGCCTCATATACTTTATTTCTTTCTTTTTCCAATTTCATTAATTTTTTCACCCTATAGGTAAGTTGCACATCTACTACTTCCACTTGAGGATATCTAACAGCAAAGTAGTTTTTGATGTCCTCTATATTCCGGTGTTGCTTGGATATGTGGGTGACCATCAAAGTCCTTGAGGATAGAGTAGATGCACTAGGGCTTTTTCCAGAACATTTTTTCATAATTAAGATTGTCAGAGGTGCCATGCATAAACTGGCCATCACGTGAACCCATAATAGGTTTGATGATGGGCCCAAATTACTTAGAGTTGTGTGTCCAAAAGTTGTACTGTTACCTGAAATACAACAACATAATTAATATTTGAAATGTCATGGATATGTCTGATTGTTGGCCTGACTAAACCCTCTTGAAGGACTTCGCAAGCTACCTAATAAGTCAACATCGAGTAATACACTTGACAATAAGAAATCCTATGGGACAGAGTGTTAATGGGTCATAGTCCTCTGAGGTTCTCCTTTTTATTACCTACCTATCAACTCCTGACTAATTTGAAAATAAAAGGAGGTTTCATGATATAGACCAAATCAAATCAATGAATCAAAATCTTTTTTGTCTGTATTGGTTGAAAAGTAACTTTGGGTTGTCAGTTATTTGTGTCCGAATTTGGATGGTTTTAATAGGAAACGTCAATTTCTGAGCGAGATACAAAAAAATGAGCTCCGAGGCTCAAATTTCATGAAATTTTGATTGGTGCAAATCGCATTTTGATATCTTCAACCGTTTAGCCGCTAGAGGGCGATTCTCGATTTTGAGCAATACTGTGAAACCATCGTAACTTTTTTGTTTATGAAAATTATTGATTTCTGTAAAAACTTTCTAGAAACACTTTTTCAAGCAGAATTTAGTGACGTTCTCAGTTTTTTTCTAGTTGGTCCCAACTCCGAGATATTGACCAAAGTCTGTTTTTTTTAAATAGGACACCCTATATATTAATAGCTCATTAGAAAGCTCTGCTTTTTCTGATTTTAATGGTATGAAGTTCGATAGGTTTATCTCTAACAGTTTTCGAGAAAAAAAATTATTTCGGTTTTGTCATAAGGAACAATGTGTTGGAAAGAGACCTTTCTCAGTTTCCTTACAGATATAAAGTCCTTTTCTTACACATTGCTTCTTATGACAAAAACCAAAATATTTTTTTTTTCTCCAAAACTGTTAGAGATAAACCTATCGAACTTTATACCATTGAAATCAGAAAAAGCATAGCTTTCTAATGAGCTTTTATTATATAGGGTGTCCTATTAAAAAAAAACAGACTTTGGTCAATATCTCGGAGTTGGGACCAACTAGAAAAAAACTGAGAACGTCACTAAATTCTGCTTGAAAAAGTGTTTTTAGAAAATTTTCACAGAAATCAATCATTTTCATAAACAAAAAAGTTATGATGGTTTCACAGTATTGCTCAAAATCGAGAATGGCCCTCTAGCGGCTAAACGGTTGAAGATATCAAAATGCGGTTTGCACCAATCAAAATTTCATGAAATTTTAGCCTCGGAGTGGGGAGTTAATTTTTTTGATTCTCGCTCAGAATTTGACGTTTCCTATTAAAACCATCCAAATTCGGACACCCTGTACAGCCAAGCCCAATTACTTACTGTAGAAGGCTTGGTTATCTGAATAGTGGCTACGATTATGATGTGTTTTTTTTAGATCATGTTGTTTGAGGATTTTGTGAATTTGTGTGGTTTTCCATGCATAAATAAATAATAAAAAGCTATAGCTCGACATGAATTTTGTCGAACATAGGTTATTAGCTAAAAAATATTATAAACGTGTTTTAAAATGTATTTATCATATTAATTTTCAAATTATTTATTTCTTCGTCGATCTCTTCAAAAAAAAATTATGTGAACAGTACCTACACTGAAAAACACAACGGCCCGGTGGTGTGACTATAATAAAAGTTAATTATATCAATTATCGAGTTTCAATGTTGACTCTTTCAAAGAAAGATTTCCTTTTTTTTTTTTTAATAAATAATTTGAAAAACAAATAAATTATTTTATAATAAACAAGGATGGCTGCCTAATAAAACAAAATTAACTTTTTCAGTGTAGTGCACCCACTATTTTTTGAATACATAATTATAATCGAATAATTAGAAAATTTCAATAATAAATACATGAGTGAATACATTATTTAGGACTTAGAAAATACAAAAAATAAATACTTATTATGACCTACAAATTCAAAAAATCAACAGCTCCACAAAGTTAATTACATAATAATAAAATAAGCACACCATTACATCATCGTATATTTAGGTGTCGATGAAAATACCTCAGAGAAACCTTGCTATTACTACAAAAAAATTTAAAACTAAAAAATATGTGATTTTCACTTGTTATGTGGGACGATATATATTTTTTAAAATAAAGTACCTACATATTATATGAGTTTTTTGACAAAATTCATGCATCAACACAATCTTCAGGTTGAATCTGCATGAAGTTTTAGTGTTTTACCTTCAATTAAACATGGCCAGATGGCGAGAAGTTGTGGGTTAAGGACGAAGTGGAATGAAACTTATTTAAAAAATTCGCGGACGTTTCAACCTTTTATTCAGGTCTTTATCAAGGCTGTTTATATAACAGAAGTTTCTTCACACAGAATGTCTTCTAGGTTGGGGTTTTTTTTCTAAGATGACAGAGAGCCTAAAAAAAATAAACCAATTTTTCAAATAACATTTTCTCAAAAACTCAAAAATAAAGGACATATGGCCATTTTATATAATATAGAAAATTAAATAAGCCCCATGTGCAAAAAAATTGTATGAAATCTGAAAGATAATGGAAATTCAAACACCTTATTCAAGACAATCAAATAAGTCCCTGTGCAAAAACTTAATTTAATACAAAAAATTGTATTGAATGAAGTTTTTGCACAGGGACTTACCTATTTGATTTTTTGATTTTCTTAAATAAGGTATTTGAATTACATACCATTATCTTTCAGGTTTTCTACAATTTTTGTTAGAATTTGACCTTTTTTTGTATTAAATAAAAGTTCTTGCACATGAGCTTATTTTATTTTCAATATTATTTAAAACTCGATTTAAAATGACAATATCTTCTTTATTTTTGAGTTTTCGAGAAAATGTTATTTGAAAAATTCTTTTATTTTTTTAAGTTCTATGTCATCCTAAAAGGAAATCCCAGCTGTATAAAGAGCCTTGATAAACACCTGAATAAAACCTTGAAACGACAAAGAATTAATAAATAAGGAAGTTTGATTCCATTTCGTCCTCGATTTCGCCCTTAACCCACAATTTCTCTCTACCATAATGTCTACAAAGTCGAAAATTTTCAACAGCTCCACCAAGATAATTATTCCAAAATATCCCTACTTATCCATATCCTCTTGTGCTAACTTAAATATTCTTGAATCATTTTTAGCATTCAAGTCAAGTAATAACTTGTCCCAGATGAACCAAATTAGAAATAATAATAATGTTAACATATGTGTTAATAGGACCTGAGCTAATACCTATAGACAATCAACATCCCTGCCTCATCAGTGTCTGTCTAAAAACTAAATGCCCTATTCATGTCTGTAAGGTTGTATCTACCACCAAATTTAACTTTCAAAAAAGCCAATTTTCTGTAAATGTACCACCTTTGCAAATATCAAAATTGGGATATCTTAAAAAACAGTACAGATGTAAATATACATCTATGAACGCCTTCTACACTATTCAGAGTAACATTTTTGAAAGATGTCCCCATTCCACCCAAATTGATAAGAAATATCTTTTATGGTTTAGGAAGCATAAGTGCTTTCTGAAATCAAAAAAAATACAGATCGAGCTACTGGAGGCCCAAATTTGTGGGCCTACGCAGTAGAATTAAAGACAAAATGAAATCAGCCTACTCTGAATATCTGCATGACGTGAAAATTAGCTTAAAATCAAACCCTAAATTCTTTTGGTAATATGCGAAAGGCCTTAAGGATCATCCAGATGTTCTTCAGGAAATGATTTCTGATGGCAAAACATACACTGGACTGCAAAGCAATAGGTCCTGATGGAGTACCTGCTTATATCATATCTAAAGAGCTGAAGTGAATATTTGGCGTTGCGCCTCATGAATTTCTATTTAACTTTTTTTTAAAAACGTCTGTGTACCCTGATAAATGGAAAACAAGCAAAGTTATACCTGTTTATAAGGCTGGTGCCAGAAAAGATATAAAAAATTATTGTCCTCTCAATTGTTTGTGCAATCTCTAAAGTTTCTAAGATAATTATTTTTGATCGAATGTTTAGTGAAATTTCGGGCAAAGTAACATCATACCAACATGGTTTTTTCCTAAAAAGTCAATTTTTACCAACCTAATCACATTTTGTCAATATATTCATGACGCAATAAACAGTAAGTCACAAGTTGACGTAATATACATAGATATGGAGAAGGCTCGGGAGAAGGCTTTTGATAGGGAGAGGCACAGCGTAATTTCGAAAGCCCTAAACGACATGGATGTATCATCTTATCTATTTTACTTAATACAATCCTATCTTAGCCATAGATTTCAATATATAGAAATCAAAAGATCCAAATCAGTGATGAACAAGAGCACATCAGGGATACCTCAGGGCTCTAACCTCGGCCCTCTTCTGTTTTTAGCAGCTATAAATAGTATTATGGGCAATCTTGAGAACGCCAAAGGCTTACTGTTTGCTAACGATTTCAAATGTTTTCACTTATTTAATAAATTCTATTGAGGATTGTGAAACCCTCCAAAATGACTCTTGTAATGTATCTAATTGGGGTACTGCGAATAGCTTTAATCTCAATGTGAGTAAATGTAAGTGTATGTTATTTACCCTCAATAAAAACTTTTATCAGTATGATTAAATGATTACACTTACGATAATACTAAAATCGAAAGTGTTAACAAACAAAAAGATTTAGGTCTGATCTTTGACGTGAATCTGACTTTTAGTGATCACATCCTTGCAAAAATTGAAAGTGCTTAGAGGGTAGCAGGATCTATTACAAGAAACACTAGAGATTTTGACACAGACATGATGAGTTTGCATCTTTTTGACAGCTTGGTTTGGCCTATATTGGAATATGGTTCTATAATTTGGTCTCCTCAATATGATGTATGGATTACGATTATTGAGGGGGTGCAAAGGAAATTTCTAAAATCTCTTTATTATAGAAAGTATCTACCCACAAAGAGGTTGTAATAATGAATATTTGTTGGGTTTCTTTGGAAGAGTGTCATTGGAGAAAAGAAGATTCAAAATAATTCTTTGCACAATGTTTCGGTTGCTGA